GGGGGGAAAAAGGTGGCGCGGGTGGGGATGACTGCGGACCAGTTAATGGAGTGAAAGAGAGAGATGACATGCGCTGTGGCCGGCGGAGCGGATGGGGGAGGAAGAGCCTGAACTGTGGAAAGGAATATCCAGGGCTTCAAGTATCTTTCACGAGTCAGTTTGGTGATCAATCTCAAGGCGCTCCTAAAGACCAAGAGGAGAATGTTGAGGAGTCAGAGCTTGAGGAAGCGGCAGATGAACCTTGGGTGGTGGAGGAGACAGACGGAGGCGAAGGTGCGGGAAAGGAAGAGCGTGAAGGGGAAGGGAGAGGTTGAGGAGGGTGTGGAGGAGGAAGAGTGTTAGGTGAAATGCATGTATGTCTCTCTCTCTCTCTCCCTCTACCTCTCTTTCTTGCGAACCTGCACCTCTATCGAGATCTTGACAAAAAATGCAGGGTTTACATTCACCGGAAAAGGGAAAAAGTGGAAATGTACTTCTGATGACGAGCTTTACGATAGAGCGAAGGTCGGTCTCATAGAGGGAGTAATGGAGGGAGAAGGTTGGGTGGAGGTCGCGGAGGAAGCAAGGGGAGCGAGAAGGTTTGGGGAGGGAGGCGATTGAGGGGGAGAGAAGTCAGGCGGAGATTGGGTTAAAGAAGAAAGGGGAGGGAGGTGGTTGGGCGAAGGAAGGCTGAAGAGAAGGTTGGAGCAGGCTGCTATGAATGGAAAAGGCGGCAGGAAGAAGTCGTGGGGAGGGGGGGCAAAGGGAGGAAGGGGGGAGGGCAGAGGTTGGGAGAAGTCGTGGGGAGGGGGGGCAAAGGGAGGAAGGGGGGAGGGCAGATGTTGGGAGAAGTCGTGGGGAGGGAGGGGAAAGGGAGGAAAGGGGGAGGGCAGATGTTGGGTGGAATAAGGAGGGAGGGATGAGGTCCTGTCTCTTATACACATCTAGATGTGTATAAGAGACAGGAGGAGGAGGAGAAGAAGAAGAAGAAGAAGAAGAAACACAATGTGTCATACTGAGTTAATGAAATTGAATTTCGACTCCTTTTCAGTGGAAAAGAAAAGGCAGGGATACAAACGAACTGGCAAAAAGGCAAGGTACCTTTTCTTTGACCCAGTTGA